CCCCAAAACCCCAAAACCCCAAAACCCCAAAACCCCAAAACCCCAGGTCAAATTATAATATTATTCAAATAAATTTCCAAAGGGTTTGAATTTTGACCATGTAAGTGATTCCTAATGCACAATAGGAAGAGGAATAGCTCAAAACAACTAAACCTACTAGTACCAGGGTAAGTTTTAAACAGTGACTGATGTAGTACTACCTATAATGCTACTAATAATGAACCTAAGTCTTCTCGATTAGGCAAGACAATTGATTTTTCTAAGTAATCTATGGCCTAATGTATAGAAAACTCAACAAAAATAACAGTAGCTCCAGACTCTTAAAGTCAAAAGTGTATAAGACAACACATGTCCGTGAGAAATATAGTGACATGCTGAAAAGAGAGCAAACACTAAAATCAAAGATAACAAATGATGATAAAAAGCATTTCAAGTATTCCCTAATTTTCATGTAATAGAGAAGTCCTAGATCTCAGTAGTGCTATCAATATACTCCAGGATAAGATACTTGAAGCTAAGGCAAACAGAATTCCCTATGTCAAATGGGAGCATATTGACGGATGAGCACCCACTGCAGCTAATATTGAGAAGTATAATAGCCAGATAACCATTGATGATCAGGAATATCTTAATCTCATAACCCAGATGATACGAGGCAACAGGAAAATGTTCACTGAAGAGTACATGAAAAGGTTTGAAAGACATAAAGCTAAATTTACCAAACCCAAGATCGTGCTCAGTGACGAAGATGAATTTGATATCAGTATGAACCAATTTTAACATGTAGATGACCCAAAATCCGTGCTTCAGCATAACAGAAAGCTCTTGAATTACAACTATATTGTCTCTGAAGTTGCTAGAAAGATAGACTGTCATGTAAGGATATGCCCTTATTCTTTAGAATACCGATCTTACTAGGAAGAATGACCTTCTCAACTCCAAAATTAGCGCTGGAGGTGAAATTGAGCTTCTCTGAGGTGCGTATTCCTCTTAAATATTATAGAGGATCTATATATGAAAGCAAAAGAAGAGCATGACCAATTAAAGGAAAAGATTGAAAAAGCCAAACTAAAAGCTAAAGATGAATATGACAAAGCTATGGGTAACTATTTTTGATTATGATTAGCTTCTGAACAAGAGCTCAAAGACCGATTGGAAGAGTTTAAAGAAATAAATGAGCAAAAGGCCAAAAAGAAGCTAGACAAGGTAATAAAGAGGTATAATAAGCCGCCCATGTCAGCAAGAGAGGTTATCAAGCGAGAGCCTGTTATTAGAATTTATCCAGACTATAATCCGAAGTTCTCAAGAAACCAAATGAGGCCAATGACTATTAAGGCTTGGGAGACTGCAAGAACAATGGCTACAACCCCAATTACATCTGAAAGAGTACCTTGTGCTCAAAATGACCCAGGGGATGGATTTTCAAGGAACTCTGAAATAATAACTTCTCCTGGACCTAAACCCAGAACAGCTGCTTTTCCTCGGAGGAAGGGTTTGAAAAAGTGTCGTACAGTGACGAAGCTTAATCTGAACATTAGAAGCCAGACCCAGAGCACATTTAGAAAGATTTCTCAAGCCAAGGTTAAATCTCGGAACAATAATTTCATGAAGGACTTCCAGTCCCTCTTCAGCAGTAACTGTAAATCTCAAGGGACCATGAATGCCAAGCAGGCTAAGAAATTTGAAAAGAAAATAATGAGGCTTAAGAACAAAATTCAAGAGGTCCAAGACACAAAGAAAGAGGCAGTACTGAACCTTACTAATAGTATTATTATGTATTATCTTTTGTAGGCAGGAAGCACAGATATGACCGCAAAATATTCCTGGAGAACATCCTAGCAGGGATACAAGATGCTAAGGACCAACTCCTCCAAGAACAAAGGAAGATCCTATTAGGTTATGGATTCAAGAGAGATGAAGAGTTCAGTTATAAGGATTTAGAAGAGAAACAAGCTGAACAACTTTCTGAGAAAATCAAGCAGTCTAATGATAAAGTACTAGCTATTCAAAGTAAAGAAAGAGTAATCAAACTTCTGCTTGAAAAAAGTGGACTCTCAAAGACAGACAAGCAGTAGGAATAAACTAATCACTCATTCAACTACTTAAATTACTTTTGGGGTTTTGGGGTTTTGGGGTTTTGGGGTTTTGGGG